GACCAATGAATATTAACTGCGGTAATGACATATATTGCTACTGTTCAATTACCATTGTATGAAATAGGTAAAAATTGCGAATGATTTATCTTTTCTTGTTGACCAAAAATGTCAATACGACGTGTTCGAAGACTTTATAGCCAACTGGATAACTTCAAATGCGATGGAAGAGTTGAATGCGAAAAACTGCGCCCTTTTATCATATGGACAGTACTGTGCAAAGATACTAATAGCAATGGTTACTGCAAGAAGCTCATCCCCAAAATGAAAGCTCTGGAAGGCAAAGGTGCACTAATAAAAGGCAAGATTGGGTTATTGTGAGATAGGTTCAAACTACCCCAGTGACATCATTGTCCTCTATTCAACGTGATAGCCTCTTCCATATCCATGGTGCTTGTATGGTAGCGTTTGTTATGTTACACTCACAGCATCTGCTTCTAATTCCACGATATTGATTGAATCTTTTATGGCAGGAGCCGGCAAGCACAGCCGTCAGCACGTCTGTTTGATGCACGAGATTCGAACCCCTTAAAGTGACCTAGATTGGAGCAACAATTGATGAATGAATGTATCACAAGATAAAAGATTAAAGATCCTTATCGCTTTTTACAGTGACATATACAAGCATACATCGCTGCCATGAGGTCACCAAGTACGGGTTTTAATTTTAAATGTACAATTGTGCTAGCGTGTGGGGTCTGCAGCTTCAAAAATTTTTGTTTGTTTTTTTTTTTTTTTTTTTTTTTGTGAATGAGATTTACACATTTTGAATTTCAATAAGAATAGTCGCAATCTTCATAATGATTCGTTTTTTTTTTTTTTTTTTTTTTTTTGCAGTTATGTGAAGTGCAAACATTCGGGATCCGTCTCATCAAAGAAAAAAAATTATTTCGTTTAATAAATATTGACTTTCAATATTACATTACAAAGAAAATGAATAAACCTTTCATGTAACACTTTCGAGAGAAATTATCACGCATGAAAATAGAAAACTGAATGTCACATTATTTTTATTTGTAGAGTTAGTATATTTTAATGGAAAATAATTTCAAACAGGCTAATTACCGCTTTGATTTGGCTGAGATAAACGTCACAATTGATAAAATTAATTATATATTGGAAATTTTCTGATTTTACTCTTAAAAATTGAATTTCTAGTTTTGATATTACCCCATCTATGCAGTTTGGTGATTGAATTTAGTTTAAAACATATTACAGACCTATATTTGAGCAGCTCCTGCATGTCGTTGCGAAACCATATGCTAATTGGACTATGTATGACTGCTTATACATTCCGGTGTGTTTGATACATTAAAGACTCCTTAATACCCAATTCTACGTTGTGAATGTACATTTAAAATGAATTGAGCGTGAGTTGTAAAATCTCTAAAGTACAAAGTATTTAAGTTGAATCCAATTCTAAATTAAAATACGTTTTATTTCTGTGCCTTGTTAGATTTATTCATATATAACTTGTATATTTGAAAGATTGAGCTCCTATGATCTTGGATTGATCGTTACTGACTGAATCATGGAATAATTTTAATCAATAAAACTATATTTAACTACAAGAACACTTCTACCGAAGCTTATGATACCGAAATGAGAAAGAATCGAATATCTATTGTCTGAACAAACAGATATTCAAAGCATTCCGATTCGAAAGTTTTATTCTTGTGAAACATAAACTGGTTTCTGAAAATTCCAGATACTTTATTGGGAAATGAACACCTCTGAAGTCAAGAAGTATATTAATGAGACCGTGAGAGAGCTTACTGATAATAACCTCAATTGTTCAGGCAATTGTCTCAAGTGTAGTACAAATTTTCAATACCTTCTGTACTGTAAGATAACTGATGATGCAACAATTTTACTACAACGTTCCTGGATATCAAAGTATGAACTGAATATAACCTTTCTAGCTAGAGAAAATGAATAGACATCTTTTGGTCTGGGTGACGACGAATTTTTCCTTTTGAAACTCATCCTTTTTCGGTTGGAAACGGTGGCGTGACTAGCTGAAATAATATTTAAGAATGATTTTTTGTTTACATAGTGTCGGAACAAATGTTCCAAGCTGAGTTACATGCGACAGCCTTTCTGCTTGTTACAAAGGTGTTAGTGTACCCATTGAGCACAAACACTTTGCGATACCCAATTCTTTATATCTGATTATATTAGCCTCGGTAACCTAATGGTTATGGTCACGAACTCATGGCCGGCAACAGAAGATCGAGCCCTAGTTCCCCTTGCCACTGTGTAGAGGGGGCTTTTTCTCATTAAATTTGTCGAAACTTAAAATCCAGGTGTGGTAATTTGGAGGGGGCAGCTCAGCTGTCGTCCTTGTCACCTGAATGAGGTTCAACATCATGCTGTCCGTCGCTAATAACTCTCGTGTTGCGTTATAGTGCGAAGTTAATAAATATTCATTATACCTGATCATATGTATGGAACTCACGTCAATGTTCATGGTAATTCTCCACCCCCAACATATCCGTATGAAAATTTATTACACATATATCATGCACTCCTGTCCAGGATGAGGAAAGCACGCCGTACTTTGTCAGCTGCTCCAAAACTGGGCATAACACTTGAACACAGTGCTTCAAGTGTTATTCCCAGAAAACGATGAAGCACTTTTATCCTGCGCGACTGTCGCTTTACTGTGTCGTAACATCTTCTTTGGGCAAAAATTGAACCACACTTCACTGTACTTGATTGTACGCATCTGTCGCATTCTTCTTTATTATATTATAAATTGGTGTTGCACTTAAAGAGATTGTTTCTGAAAATTCGCACGCTGTGCCCATTTCATCACATCACCAACTCGGCTAAGTTTCGATCTTGTGGCCGAAATTACAGGTAATATCAGTATGTTATAAGTTTTCTCTATGTTTTATTTGCATGATTGCGTAAAAGCAGTTAGTTTTGCAGTAGTTTCTACTTACAATGCAGTTAATTGTATATCCAAATCGGCAAAATTCCAATAACTTGATTTTGAACTATAAAATATTTCTAAAATAAAAAAAAGCCTTGTTATATTTTATTATTGCATTTGCAGTGTGTATTAAATTTAATAGAGTTATTTAATGCAGTGCTTCTCAAATTTTCAATATTTGAGACCCAATATTCAATCATAATTTTCATCGCGCCCTCCTTTCGTATAATAACAATGCATTGAATTCAGTAATACTCTACTTTGACTCTAAAGCTACAACACGACTTAAACCTCTTAAGTGCCACTGGCGTATATAAAGGTCTTGCTCAGTCAAAGCGTTAATTGACACGGACGTATATATACGTCTTTTTGAAGTATGACCTTTTACCTCTCTCTGAGCACTGCTATCCAAAAAATTATTCTGGAGGCTTTGGAATGCAATGAAAGGACCCTGGCAGTGTTTTCGAGAATTTATTTATTTCAGAGGATTTGCTTTTATTTATTCCTTTTCTCCCCCCCCCCCCAATACATCACATACGCGTGCCAACGTGGAAAACGATGACATTGGGGAGCGAATCGCGTGACTTTAAATCGGCAGTTTAGAGATTAATTATAAACCGTACAAATTATCAAGATAAGTGTAAATGTTTGCATATAATTTTATAAATATATATTAAAACCCATTTTCTTAACTGAGTATTGTGAAAACAATTGTAGAATACATTGTGCAGTACTATACATTTATGAGTGTAGTATGTCTGTTTATATGTGTGTTTTATTTTTTACTATGTCGGGATGTATTTTTTTGTTTTGTTAACGTTCAGTAAATTAATACTTTTTTTTAAAAAATAATCTTTTGTTTTTGTCTTTTCAATATACTTGCGCCCCTCTCGTAGACTTATCACGCCCCCCTAGAGGGGCATGCCCCACAGTTTGAGAAACTCTGATATAAGGAGAAATTGTTCAGCAATGTTTATCTCAAAATTAATCTGGACTTCCTGTAATTTCTCGGGAAATAATGTTGTGAAATGAACATAGCTTAATTAAATTAAGAAAAATTCATAAACAAATAAATGTTTACCTTATTTGAGAAGAAACCAATTAATAAATTCTACTTCTAAAAGGATCTAAAATTAACACAATTGGTAATCGGGCTTTCAATAATCATCTTGATGACTCAGAGAAAAAGCAAACTCATTTTTGACTTATTTTATCAATAACTAATAGACGAACTATTTATCAATACCACAATATACTTTATATTAAACATAACGAAATTATTTCGAAGTCAATTGTTTCATAACGAAAATTAAATTATTGCGTTTATTAATTACAGTAAATGAAATTAGTATGTTTGATTATTTCCTTAGCACTTATTATTGCAAAGAATGTATTTAGTATATAGTTAATTAAGTAAACTATTTGTTAAATAATATAGCAAGAAGAATATTTGAATTATTTTAATTGAATAATAGAAAATAGGGACAACAGAATTTCATATAGATATTGATAAGTTTGAAAACTCTATTCATATAATTTTGTATCTATTATTTAAAAGCTTGATCACTGAAATTTTGTATAGTACTATTTCAATAGCTTTCGTCTACATGACCACTTAAAGTTTTATACTTCCTTATTAGAAAATTTCTTTTGGAAATATCTCTTCCTCCTTTTTACATTTTAAACATATTTGAAGTGTTATTGAAGTTTTTTTTTTATTTTAAATAAATGTATCGCCTCATTCTTTCATCTTAAGAAGAAGTTTTTTTAGAGCAAGATATTTATTTCTCTTGTGGCTGCATGAACTGAAGAGAACTAATTTAACTCTTAATTTCTTTGTTGTCGTTTGGCAACACTTGTTATCATTCAATATTGCTTACTTTTCTGTAGAACATCGTATTACTATGTATCTCATATGTTTTATCTAGTAACAGGCAACATTAAAAGCTATTTACTCTTTTATGATTATGAAACATCGTTTTAACCAAAAACAACAATATTTTGAACACGCATCCTTGATATATAATATCTTTCATCAACCCATACCATCTAGCCAAAGTGGTGACCCGGACGTGATTTGAACACGCAACCTTCTGATCAGGAGTCAGAAGGTTGCGTGTTCAAATCACACCATCTAGCCAAACTCTTTCGTTGTGTCAAAAGTGCTATGATATGAATTAAAGAATTCAACTGTTTTTTTATGAACATTAAATAAAGTTTGGTGTAAGTTTACCATTTAAGAAACTTTTGTATGTCTTCGGTCTGTGGGATCATCTGAATAGATTTTCATTTTATTTTTGAAAAACCCCATTCAGAAATCATTTTAGAAATTACAATCCTCATTTTAAAATAAATTGTTCTTTGTTGCGTGTGTGTGTGGGCAAAATTTCAGAAAATAATGCTCTTTAAACAAACCAAGATAATTATAAATAAGACTTTAAATAAAAAAAGGAATTATTTTTTCAATTGAATAAAAATAAGATATCAACATTTGGTGAAATGGCCTTTGACGTTATTGTGATCTAGCCAAGAGCAATCATCATCCTGTTTAAAGAACTATTACAAAATTTAATCTGAAATATAGAACAAGCATGATCATATTTTATGCATACAAATGGGCGTATCCCCGTATTTAGATTGTTGTTCTCTTACATTAAAGCCTGCATTTACTACAATGCTAATACCAAGGCATTACAGAGGCTATGTAGCACTCACACGATCATTTATTCAATGCATTGTTTCCTTTTAGGTCATTATCTTATTAAAAAATATCCAATTTTTATACGTTATTCAAATTATACGTAACAGTAAATCTTGCATAGCATTAATAAAGTATTAATTTGCTTAAGATCACTGAAAATTTTTTAATTTGTTAGAAAATTCAATTATTATAACTTCTTTTGTAATCCGTCAGAAAAATATTTATATCAAAACCAAGAGATACTACTTACACTGCTGACTTTTTTTTATGTTCCTAATTTAATTAAGTGTCTAAATGTTATCTATTCACTTGCTGAATTAATTTTAATGATATATCAACCATGTAGTTGAAGAAAAACCAGGGTTGTTCCTATTAATTCAATATTAGCTATGCTATTAAATTATTTTAGTTGAATTATATATTAATATCATGATCAATTTCTGACAATTTTTCAAAATCACTACATATATTTTCGTTATAAATAAAAAAGATATGATCTTAAATGAACTGAAATACGAGCAACCGGTATTACTTTTATAACATTTGTTCAAACAGAAATACTTCCATTAACGATGATACATTTTTATTTCTTTTCAGCGAGTTTGAGGTAAAGTTTGAATTTTTAAGGGTATCTCTTATAGAAAAGAAAGTTTCTTTTAGAAACAAATTTCAAATATTACTTCAAAAATATTCATTTTCAAAACAACAATATATATTTAGGAACATAATATAAAAAGCAATATACTCTCTCCCAAGGAAAATGATACACTGTATTGAACATACTCATAATGGAAAATATTTGTTTTCATTGCTGTTGGGAGGAATCTAAAGTATTAAGTAAAATATATTTTATCTTAATACTAACTTCTGAATCTATTTCCTACTCTGGAGTTTTATTTTTTACATTTCTTATCATTATCCTTTCTTAGAAATAGTTATTCACTACATTTCAGGATTCTGTTACTTGTTTCTTTATTGTAAAGTTTTTGAAGTGAATTCTAAACTATAAAAAACGAAAAATAGTTTAAGCAAGTATTTGTAGAATTTTGAAAGTCAGAAAAACAAAATTATATGAAAGACTTTAAATTGAAAAGTTAGCCGTTTATGTCGTATGTTTCTTGAAACGTTAAGTTTTTTTATAGTATAGTTGACGTTTTGGTGGTATTAAATATTTTCATAGTTGCAGTCAATTCATATTTCGGTTACCAGAACTGCTTATGTCATAATTTGACAACTATATAGCTTGAGCGCCTTTCGGATATTTTCTCCATTGAAAATAAGAGAGATAAACAAAAATTATATATACAATAAGTTAGAATATCGAAGCTTTGAATTTTCATCACTTGATCGTGATTCAAAATGAGAAATAGGATTTTATACTTTTTTGTGCGGTGTTAATTTATTCCAAAGGAATATGCGGGATTTAAAATGGGTCTAATAAAAATGGACCACTCTTCCTTAAGATAACTGGGACGTGAAAGTGCTTCAAATTTTGCATTTTTTTTATTTTACTTTTAAATAATAGAGGGTACTTTGCTGCATCAATGGATGCATTATTTATGAGAATTCGATGAAGAGAAAATTGAATTTTAAAATTGTAAGCAAATGTGATGTAACTGTGGTTGAGGTACACTTTCTTCAAATGTATTGTAAAAAACTAATTTTTATATACAAAGAATGTAATTTTTCTATATTATATGTTCAAATTTATTGAAAATTCTACATTTTTTGTGCAAAAATTACGGATAATTTAAATGATTATTTGCAAAAATTTAAAATAAAATTTAGTTTTTTGAAATGTTAATTATGTCCAGTTTTGTATCCATAAATACTCAGTGTAGCTCTTAAATTATAAATCAAGTGGATATTGTACAAAGCGGATCTTGAGGATTATTCGAAATTAAATACACAGCTTGTAAAATAGACATTTCGTTTTTCCTAACTGCTGTATTGTTAATATTTGAATGCTCATCAATAACCCTATACGTTTATTACTCTTTTGGTTTTACTTTAAAATAAATAAATATTCATATATATAAATACAAAAGCAGAGATTTTTTTTGTTATAATTTTTAAAAACACTGCTCCATTGCTTCTGATGAGGGATATGTCAATCAATGTAAGGTTAGAATATAATCATTGACCTTGGGATATTTGGACACAATGCTTCGATCTTCAAAGTGAAGCTGAGCTCATCAGTGTACTCTTCCACCATTGTATATTACCAGTCTATAGCCTTTTGTGCTGCATTTGTCTAATATATCCATAGATAGTGCCACTGATTATTTGTTTGGTAGAAGTAGCGCATTTAAAAGAATCTTGAATGCTGAGCAAGATGCCGGACATGCTTTGTGGATGAATTGTACAGTATACCATTATATTCGTACATGCCTCATACGTAATATTTTGATTCATCAATTTGATAGTTTACTTGTTTGATCCGGAGTTGTATGGTCATGTGCGGTTACTATCGCTCTTCTAAATACTATCCGACTGTTTACTTAGAATAATCTACGAAATTAATCATACAAGGAATCGGAATAATGCGACCATCGATTTTCCCTGAGAATAATATATATACCTAGTTTTCAATAATTCTTCAGACAAAATTCATAAAAGTATTCGTATGACTATTGTATTTTTGATGAGGTATAATTAAAAATTTATATAAGAGTTATATATATATTTGTGTGTGTATGTTTATTGACTTATCGCCCTCTAAAGCAACACGAGTGCTATTCGTAACTGCTCTCGTAATTTTAAACCTCGGTCAAGTGATGAGGACGAATATCTGAGCTATACCCCTCTCTCCAAACTGCCACTCTACTCTAATGGGAAGAGTTTGTGCCTCGAGACAGAGAGATTTAACGTGCATCAGCCCCTCTACACAGTGGTCTACAATGGCAGTGGGGCTCGAACTCATGACATATTGTCAGTGGCGTAACGTACACCCCTGCAACTCCCGCATTGCGGAGGGGAACAGGACTCTAGGGAGCCCAAAGCCTATGTTATGTTACGGTAAGCCTATGCTATATGTTATGTTATGTTTGTAAGATACGGCTTGGGGCCTAAAACTTGACTTTGCTGGGCGAGGCCTAATATTATCCGTTATGCCTTTGCATACTGTCCACGAGTTTGTGACAATAACCACTAGGCTACTGCAGTCACACACACACATATATATATAGTCAAAATTCTGTACTATAGAGAGAGATGAATAATAAATAATCAAAACTGGAAAAAAAACCAAAATTGTAAGATAAACTAGACATAAGATTTCAGAAAAATTATAAATATAATAGAATTTAAAAAATACATAAATATATTGATGCTACAGTATTATAAACATTGCTGAATCTCTTAGGACAGCTCTTATATATAAAATAATTTATATAAAAGTGGGGTTGTGAACATGTTTTTTGGCCAGCCAACCTACCCCCTTTTTGTTAATAATACTGAGCGAAACCCAATTGAAAATAATGGATAGAATATCTAAATCCATTACAAGAAGAAGATAACTTACTTAAAAATTGCATACAAAAATGCACAGCCCGCGTTAAATCTGAGTACAATAAACAAGTTATTTCCAGATTCTAGACCCAAATACAAATTCAAAGTGTATATATATATGTGTGTGTGTGTGTGTGTGGAGTGAGTGTGTACTTTATTAAAATTGAAATAAAGTACAACTTTATTTAAAATAAAAAGTATGAATGAGCAAATACGTCTCTCTCTATCTCATAAAAATTGATTTTATCATTATCACAATTAAAATACTTGGAAAATTTTCGTATCTCTATACCTTTAAGGTTACATCGAGTTCTATTTTCCGTCCAAGATTCTCTTTTATTACAACATATGCAATCAGCATTATTAATGAACTGCGTTAAATTGGAAGAAGTGAAGTCAATATCTTTTCTTTTTAATGTCAAAGCTCTTTTGAAAGACTTCCTCTAAAATATTTAGATACTCAACGACCCTTTGTTTGTATATATGCTCTTTACGATCAAATGTTTGGAATATATTAGATACTTTCAATGATAAATTTAGTTTTTTTTATATATATATCCTGAATTTACTCCGAATTAGTCTTGTTTCGATTCGAAAAGTTAATTTGATGCCCTGTTATTCAATGAATATTTGAACCTTTACAATTAAATAATTTTTCCATTTCTTTTTGATTTATAAATAGCTTAAGAAAAAGAATTAACATGTAATGAATAAACATCGAGATCAAAGGATTTGCTAACTTAATGGAAATTATCTATTGCTAATAATAAATTAACCTAAAGTTTGAAGCTTTTACCATTCTAAATCTAGGTCGTATCTATGAATATTATTTTTCTTTATAATTACAAGATTTTAACTCATTAGTTTATTGCTCGTTAATTTAATTAAACTAATTAAAGAATGGAGATTTGTTTAAATAAAATATGAAT